CGTACAGCATGAGGCCTCTGACCAAGTAATATCTTCCTGGAGACCTAACTGCCTCATGCACGCACAATATAATCTTCCACGCATGAGCTCTCAGCGCAGACATGGCCCACAAAACACAGCATGGTGCAAAGTGTGCACTGGAAGACAGTGGGAGACTTTATAAAGTCTAACTCAGACTTACTCATTAAGGTCTTTTAAGTGATTAAAATAATCATTAACCTTTGTAAGACTGTAATATATTTCTACATAAAGGCACTTTTGATTTCTGCATATCTGGCTTTTACTAACTCTATGAATAAAATCTATGTCTTAAAATAATCTACATAAAGAATTATACATTTTCTAGATAAAGCTGCTTTTCTAATTGCACATACCTGGCTCTTAACAACCTACTCATTGAATAAATGTAAATTCCTATTAAACATTCTAGATTAAAAAAAAAATAAATCACAAAAATTCAAATGTGATGGCTAAAAAACTAAAAATACTAGGAACAACAACAGCTCAGCCACGAAGTGACAGACCACACAAACTCACTAATGGGGTCTGCCAAGTGTATCACTCACTACAAATAGAGCACAAACTTCCTCTGGAAGCAACATCAGCACAAGAACTGTGTATTGGGAGCTTCAAGAAATGGGTTTCCATGGCTGAGCAGTTGCACTGGTGCCACTGGACTCTGGAGCAGTGGAAGCGTGTTCTCTGGAGTGAGGAATCACGCCTCACTATCTGGCAGTCTAAAGGATGAATCTGGGTTAGGGGGATGCCAGGAGAAAGCTACCTACTGGAATGAACAGTGCCAACAGTAAAGTTTGGTGGAGGACGGATAATGGTCTGGGTCTGTTTTTCAGGGTTTGGGTCCCTTAGTTCCAGTGAAGGGTAATGTTAATGCTACAGCACACAAATACATTTTACATAATTATATGCTTTGAACTTTGTTTGGAGAAGCCTTCCTAGAAGAATGGAGGCTGTTATCGCTGCTAAGTGCTAATAACTTCATTTTAATGCCCATTGTTAGGAACAGTATGTCCAACAAGCTCATATAGGTGGGGTAGTAAGGTATCTACATATGTTTGGCCATACAATGTATGTGAGCTTTAAAAAAGGGAATCAAACAGAGCCTTTTTAAGTAAACTAGTTATGTTCTTGTTTATTCCTCAGGCTGTAAGTCTTGAATCCGAGTGGCGTTGGGGCAGTTAAGGGCTAGTCCAAGTCTCGAGTCAATCCACGTTGATTCACAATAAAATTTAAGTTCGACTCAAGTTAGAGTCACTGTTTTTAGTCCCCATAACATGACATAAGTAATAAAAAATGCTTTGTTAAGTAAACTAGTTTTGTTTGTTTGTTTTTTTCTGAGGCTGAAATTTCACAAATCTTAAGTCTGAGTCTGAGTTGAGTCAAAAAACAGTATATATAAGGGGGCACTAAAATGTAATAAAGCATAGTTTGGCTTTTCAATGTAAAATGTTCAATGTTGCGCAAAATAAAATAGAAAACAAAATAACTGATAACCAAAAAAAGGGTAAAAATGCTGAATATGTGGTTTTTCATTGCAGGGGTTCAGTTAAGGACAAGTCTGAATCAAGCCATGAGTCAGTTAACATGTGACAAAGTGTTCAAACAAAGGCCTTCTATGCACAAACTCAATCAATAAACCTAAAAAAATAAGTAAACCTAAAAAGCCTTTTATGTAACTAGTTTTGCTTGGGTGTTTCTCGGGCTAAAATTTCATGAGTCTTGAGTCCGAGTCGAGTCATGAGTCAGTCAACGTGCAGCTCAAGTCACTGACTTGGGTCTCCATCTCTGATACTTGGTTTTCTTTAAACAAAAAAAAATAAATCTGTCTTCTATGAACCAACTCAATTTATAAAAAGAAATTCCTATGACTATCATAAATACACCAAACAAAGCTTTGATTTGATTTGTTCATTCGTTAAAAAAAGAAAAGTCTATGCCTTCTATGAACCACCTCAATGAATCAACACTTCTGCTGCTGTGCAACTGGCACAGGCCTATTTTTCTTCCCAGAACTAGGCTCATACTTTATTGCTCACCTGAGAAGCGCTACAGTAAATCCCTCTTGAATAAACTCCCTCTCTCTTATCACTGCTTAGATCCTCCCAGAATGCTGAGGGCCACATGCCAAAGATGGCCTGAGGCGAGCCGGCGGTGCACAGAAGAGGAAAAGAAGAGCATCGGCCAGTCAAAGTGTCACACAGCAGCTCACAAACACACACACATACACACACATTCTGCCGCTTCTTTAGCTCTTCCTGCCTTCAACCCATGAAAATAACTCTGAGCTTTATTGAGCTAATGCCCCTCCATGGTGTATGATAGTAATATAGGGCCTTGAACCTTTTCCTTCCTCTTTGAATCTCTTGAGAATTTCATACATGTGCCATCTACTCTGACCCTTAGGCTCTGCAGCCCCTTTAAAAAATAAGCTCTTCACTGTGGCGTCTGGTGGTCTGGCCTAATCTAATGCGTTCTCTGAAGAACTGGTGAATTTTTCTATTTTCCTCTAGATCAGGAGCTTCCAGATGTGGTGGCTGCTGAGCATAAGCCAGGGGGCAGATGTTCAGTGCCGAGGAGAGGTAAGACTGGAGAAGGTGAGAGTTTACTGTTAGCATGCTGCGCTAAAACCCATTTGCGACCCAGGAACAACACTATAAGCGAGAAAGACAGTTCTCTCAATTCTAACTCTTCACCTCTATGGATTTGTTTGGAGACAAACATGACCACATGAATGGACACAAGAAAAAAACAAGGAAAAAACGCAACTTTCTACTCTACTTAAGATTCTGTTTGGGGAGAGTTTTGGTCCGATTGAAATTCCGCCCAAAAGCCCCGGTGCATTGATCTCCATTTCTAACCCAGCTTGGGTAAACAGCACATTTGGTGCCTACAAATCAAGTAATTAACACTTCCAAAAGCTTTAGCAGCTGTGAACGATCAAGGTCATAATAATGCTACCATAAACATAATCTGGCAGAGAAGGGAAGAGATTATTTGGTTCTGACTGACGTGGTTACGCTGGCTGAATGTTCACATAGACCTGTCATCATGAAAAGTAGAAGATGGAATAATGTTTGAGAAGCTTTAATCACCAGACCCTCTCTAAGAATTATGGGCATGTACTTTGTGTTTTGTAGACCTGATGGCTGAAACACAGTCTGTGTGTTGAAAAGAACTGATTTCATCTGCTCTGAATGTTTGGACATCTGCGGAAAAGGTAATGTATGGAAACTTTCTACCAACCACATTCACAGTAGAGAAAATTTTAAGCAGTAAAATACAGTACATCTGTCACAGTGAGGTACAATGAACATGCAGAGTACAGTGAACACAGAACAATAGACTCAGTGGTAGAAGTAACACAAGACACAAGTTGGAATTGTGACAATTCAGAGAAACAATGGAAGGAGACATAACAGAGGCTACATTTAGACAGATGGCCAGATGAGATTTTTTTCCCAAAGATTTATACATATACTTTTAAATAGCAAAAGCCTATTCAGAATTTTTCAGTTTTAACTCAATTCACACTCGGTGCACATACTAATGCAGCCATTACCGCAAATAATTATGACACTACATATAAACTAAAGGTAAAAATCTGTAAAAATTTCACGCAATTTTCAAACTGTAAAAAAATGGGATTTCGGAGGTGGAGGAGCTCTGTTTTTCCATAGTTGCCAACAATATGTGAACAATAATGTTTAGTGCATGTGCTATTACATGGAGTTCTCAGCACTGATCTCCATAAATTGTGACTAATATTGACAATAACTATTCTTAATTGCTTAATAAAGTAAATTAATTTACATGTCTGTTTTGATGGATTTTTTATCTGTTAGTTTTGGCATCAAAATCAAAATATCTTCTGATTCTTTTCCGACAAAGATGAAAGTCACACTAGCTTTTAAATAAGCACATTTTTCAAGATTTCTGCAACATTCAATCGTTGAGATATAAACAAAGTAATTCAAAGTGTTTGATGTGAAATGGTGCATTGTGAGAGAAACTGATTTCATTACAGTGGAGGTGATGGGAACCAGAGGTCAAGATGTCCAAAATGCTAACATAGCATTTTGTTTACTATACACAATGACTAGTGAATCTGCATGTGTGTAGATCTGTAATGTTAATGATGGTAAAATAGTGGTAAGTCTGAACAAAAAAAAAATCTTTAGGTACTATTTTTCCCTATTACTTCCTTATATCTTGTCTCAAAACTATAATAACACAATGTCTCTGGCATCACACAACACATACAGAAGCATTTTGTTGTGTCATAACTTTCTGTGATGTACCACCAGAGGCATTAAACACTCAGACTTCTGGTTTCCATCACCAATACTACTGTGAGTTTTTTTACAGTGGCGCATTTTACATCAAACTGCTTTGAATGACTTTGGATGAATGATGTTTACATCTTAACCTTTTAATTATGTATAAAGTTTGAATTCACCTTTAACTCTATGTTTGGAGAAGCTGCCTGGTGGTAGAGACAATATAGGTTATCCAGAAAACATGGTTCATCTCTATGCAACACTGTACTGCCACTTGTTCAATGCCATGCACTCAGGTTTGGAAACATGCTTCTCAAACTACTGAGAGCCCCAGCCTTACTACCTAAACTGACCAGTTAAACTCTGTTGAATTTACTGTTCACACAAAATTGGGCCTAGTTTAACCGCTGTTTCCCTCCCTCACTCATGTGTAAAAATTCCCTCCAGTCAGGGTATTTTTTAAAATAACCCTGAATAGCACCAAAATAATCAAATCAACTGAACCGTGGTGAAATTCAATGATACATGATGCACTGAATTGTGTACTACAGAACCCCTATTATAAACCCATGAAGCTGATCAAAGGAAAAAAACATATCAGATTTGACTGCTGTCTAAATGTAGCCACCGAGACATGTGAAGGTAGCACAATGACCATGCATGACCATCACCAGAGGTAAAACAGGACGTGTTGGACATAGCTACCTAGCAGCGCCATGAAGCAGATGCATATGGCAAACAGCGAGCTGAAGCTGAGGCCCACGTCGTCGCGGTAGATGGCCAGCGTGACCTCGCAGTGCCGGCCGCGGTAGCCCTCCGGGCAGTGGCACGTGAATTTGGAGGGCGATTGGGCCACGCAAGTGCCCCTGTGGCACGGGCGGCTGGCACATAGCGTGTACACACAGAACTTGCCTGTGGCGTTGGCCTTCACCATGTGACCCGGAGGACACCTAGGATTGGATGAGACAAAACCAGACAGATGGAAAGGGAATTAATAATCTCCGAAAAATGAACGACAGACTGGCAAAGTGCATTATTGGGCATTAGGCTGAAAAGTAGCTTATGTTTACATGGATTACAAGCTAATATGACTGATTGTTTGCATAAAACACTGGGATTTATTGGATTTATCACCAATTACTTTAGCCTTGCATTAGCCATACATAACTTTTGCTGGCTGGCATACAAATAGTTAATTCTTATAAATGAATGCCATAAGTAAAAATTTAAATCTTACACATTATGGGGGAATAACATGAAATGTCCTCAGTAAACATTCTGTCTATAAACCCATGCCCATGTCATGATGTGCTTGTAAATTATTGTGACAATCCTTTGCAAAGCAAATAAGCCTCCAGAGTGTGTCCAAATCTAATGGATTCCACTGAATGTCTGGACATGGGACACTGAGACACATTGGGATAATCTCTATGTAGCAGATGGAGCATTGAACAGTATTTAGAACTGTTGCAAAGGTGGCTAAATACCAATGTGCCTCAGCTACAGAAATGTGTGCATAGACAGACGTGCATATATACACACACATCATAGAATTGCATGACCTCCTGGACTACGGCCCATGCTAAGGTTGATAAGCGGCAGAATAAGGCATTTTCCCAACAGATAAGAAAACGGTCCCTTTGCACCCCATTCACACATGCATGCACCCACCCACATAGACACACATGAATGCACATGCACAAACACCCACCTACACCAACACCTTTTAATTCTAACCGGCAGTGAGAGGAGTAGGGTTAGATGCCTGTCACAGTTTGATACTGGCAAATTTACAGACAGCCCCAGAGGGTCTTGTGCATCTAAAGCAGGACTGGGGAGACAGTGTGTATGTGTAAGAGTGTGAGTGAGTGACTGAAGAGAGAAGAATGTGAAGTAGATGAGACCGAAGTCAATATGAAGTCTCATGTCTCCAAAATGGTGACTTTACAGGAGAAGGAAAAAAAAAGTTTTTAATTATGTATTTTAATGCAATTAGATTTCATTCCAAGCAATGTTCTATTGCTCCATTCGTCATGAAACTCCCACACAGTGTAAAGTTGCCCTATTTAAACAAATAGAAATCACACCTGCACTCATGGATCCTCCACAGGTCGACGCAGGTGAATGGAGGAGTGCACTGGTTCCTCCTGCAGGAATCTGAAGAGCAGCCCAGAGTGACTCCCTGAGAGCTGAACACTGACACGCCCTCTTTAGGCTGACCGTCCAGTGGCACATAGCGGCCATTCAGCCTCAGGTCCCTCATACAGCCTGGCAAAGATACACACACAGACAGATGGGGTGGGACTGTTAAAACACTGAACTCATCAGTAGTTGAGAATTTGTGCACATGTTGTTCATTTTGCAAAAACAGCACAAACAAGAGTCCATAAATACACTGTTAGTCTATCCAAGTGACATTCAGGGCAAAACATTGTGGTCCATTTTATCAGCTCCACATACCATATAGGAGCACTTTGTAGTTCTACAGTTACAGACTGTAGTCCTTATTTTTCTCTGCATACTTTATTAGCCCCCTTTTACCCTATTCTTCAGTGGTTAGGATGTCCAGGTGGTGGATCATTCTCAACACTGCAGTGACGCCGTGGTGGCGTGTGTATTGCACTGGTACAAGTGGATCAGATAGAGCAGTGCTGCTGAAGTCAAAATTCATTATTTGTCAGCAGATCTTTTAAAAAAAATTTAAAACTGAAAAATGCTGTTTGCTTAAGTATTCAACCCCTTTAGACTAGTACTTGCATCTTTTCCTGAAATAACAATTTTAACAATTTTAAATCTGTTGGGGTCAATTTCTACCAGATTTGTGCTCTGTTTGAAAGTAATTTTGCCCATTCTCCCTGGTAGATTTGCTCTAGGTTGTTCAGGTCAGTTGGATGACGCTTGTGGACTACAATTTTCAAATAGTGCCACAGATTCTAGTTTGGATTGAGGTCTGGACTTTGAGTTGGCCACTGTAGAACATTCACCTTTTTGTTGTTCAACCACTCCTGTGTTGCTTTGACCTTGTGTTTGGGATCATTGTCCTGCTGGATGGCAAAGTTTCTCTGGAGCTTTATTTTTTTACAAACTGAAGCAGGTTGTCTTGCAATATTTCCCTGTACTTTGCACCATCCATCTGTCCTTCAGTTTTAACAAGATGCCCAGTCCCCGCTAAGGAAAAGCATCCACACAAGCATGATGACTGCAGTGGGCAGTGTTAGGTTTGCGCCACACAGCATTTTGAATTTTGGCCAATCTCAGTCACTGAAGTATGTAACTCCTTCAGAGTAATTGTTGGCCTTTCTGTGGCTAGCAAACCATTACATAGTTTCCCATGAGCTTCTTTATACCAATACAATAGACAAGCACACACACAGACACACACACATATTTTTTCTGTGCATTGTGGGGACATTACATAGACTTCCATTCATTACCTGGAGACTTACACAAACTTTAGCCATAAATGGTACTAGCCTAACCCTAACCCTAACCCTAAAACGTCTTCTTCACCTTAAAGTGATTTACGTTGTGGACCAGCTTGTGGTCCCCATAAGGAAGAAAGGTCACCACAATGTGAGTGTATACAAAGGTTTTGGTCCCCACAACGTAACATAAACCTAGTACATACACACGCACACACACTCATACGTCACATCATGTCCTCTGCTTTTGAGAAAGTTGCTTTTAAACTCCATTTATTGAACACACACGGCGGATGTTTCTGCCCGAGGCTAGGCTGTCTGACTGCAAGCAGTCAGGCCTGGGGGAGCACTCATCCTGCTCTCATCCTTTCTTCTCACTCTATCCTTCACATCATATGTCATTTCATCCACTCTTCCCTTGTCCATTTCATGCCAGATATTCAGTGGGTTCACACTTTCCCTCTACAGCAAAGGTGCATTTGGGACCATTATGTATTAATCACCACTATTAATCTTTCATTCTTTTCAATACAATAGAGTGTAATCAGACAGGAGAAGAGGATTAAAGTATGAATCCATAATGCACTACACATTCTTTATAGCATGCTGTTGGAGAACTCTTGCCCTGGATAAGCTGCTACGAGCTCAGGCTTAGCCCCCATATCGACATACATTTAGCTCTGGTGGCCAAAATGTCAGACTGGTTCAAAATAGGCCATACATGATTGAGCTCAGAAACTAATAATTGAGCAGTGTGAAAGCTGCACACAGTCACTAGAGCTACTTTCGCATTACAAGCCTCATCACTCATTTTTTTACCCACATTCAATCTTTCAGTCTTGACGGTTCACATTGAAAAGACTTATTTCTAAAAGGACCAAAATATTCACATATCGTCAAGTTAGTCACTGCTGGCATGCTGCATGGCCATGATATGTGCAGAGAGAATTCTCATCTTAAAAATCACAATTTTATTCAAAAGGCATATGAAAGTTGCTCAAATTTTATTTGAAAGGATGCCATTTTTGTGTTCACACATCTTTAAAAAACCTCATGTGTCATTTAGGCAAAAAAGATGTTCCGCTGCAACCCTGTAACATAAACACAGACTAGCACTTAATCCAACATCCATGTGCTTTTAGCCTTGTAAGCCAGGTTTCCGGCTATCATCACAACGTGGGGGGTTTCGCCACTCACTTTGACAGCAAACGGTCATTTTACTGACATGTAAAATGGCCAATCACAGACAGTTGTTTTTGTATGCCATATAACATGACTGTAAAAACAGTGCTACAACAAGAACAAACCCAATTGAAATAAACTGGTATAAGGTGCTTTAGCAGCTACCAGCAAATGCTGTTTCAGTATGGCTACAAACATATTTAATATAGGTATGCTAATGCAAAATGACAACACCTAGCCAATGCATTACAAACTGAGCTAACCACCACAAAAATATCTGACCTGATCAGTGGTTTTTCCTTAATGGATGGTATAGAGGGGGCTGACAAAATGTGCGGCAAAAGCTACAGTCTGTAACTGTAAACCTACAAACCTATAAGGAAGGTGTTTCCAATACATTGGTGTAGACACAATGAAGGTGAACATCAGACAGGTCATGTAAGTCCATGGATGAAGTATCTGAGTCTAAGACCAATATGTTTTAGACATGCTTGACCTCATGCACTACAGAGGTGGACAAAATCTACCTTGAAAGCTCTTATTGTGTCCAGTGGGGAAAGAATTTCCCAGCATGACCACGGAAGGGTCAATGACGATCTCACGGCTCCGCCCCGGTGAGCCTATGACCTCCCGTCGCCCACCACCACCGTCCACCCGCAGGGTCATCTCGTTGTCATGGCGATCAAGGTACACTTCATGCCACTCGCCATTATCCAGGCGATGAGAGGGCATGGTCAGGTTGAAGTCTCCATCACCAAGGTTATAGAAGACAGCTAACAAACCCTGAAAGATCTGAGAGAGAGAGAGAACAAGAGAGAAAATGAGAAGAGAAAGAGAAAGAAAAAGAAAAAGTAAGAGGTGAAACAGAACAGAAAGAAAGACAGAATGAGAGAAGAAAGAGAGAAAGAGATAAAAGAGATAATGTTAGAGGAGAGAGACCGTGTGAAAAGAAAGCAAGAGGAAAAAGAGAAATAGAAAGATAATGAAGAGAAAGAGAGAGAAAGACAAAGCAACAATGAGAAAGGAGAGAGACAGGGAGGAGAAAAAGATAAGAAAGAGCAAAAAGAGAGAAAAACAGAAGGAGAAAGAGAAAATGAGAGAGCAGAGAAGAAAGAGAGAACAAGAGAAAGAGAAAATGAGAGAGAAAAAAGATTAGATAGAAGGGAGAGAGAATAAGTGAAAAGAGTGAGCAAAGTGAGGGAGAAAGAGAAAAAAGACAGAAAGTAAATAGAGAAAATAAGAGGCAAAAAGAGAGATAGGAGTGAGAGAGAGAGAGAAAAGAGTGAGAGAAAGAAAGAGAGAGAGAGAGAGAAAGAGAGAGAGAGAGAGAGAGAGAGAAACAATAAGCGTTAAACACATTCAAATGTTTCCAGCGAGCATATTTGTCCGTAGCTGTTAGCTGCAGGCAGTGCAGAAAGTAAACAGCTCGAGCCACAGAGACATTGGGCTGATAAGGAGCCTTGCTCGGTGGTGGAGAGAGAGCGAGAGAACGAGAGAGAGAAATGTGATGAAAAAGAGAGCAAGAAACACTGAGGAGAGGTGGAGGAAAGAGGCTGAGCGTGCACTGCAGCAGGAAGCCATCAGAGAGGGCTGTAATCAGACAGGGGAAGAGATCTGATAAGGCCCTGCCACACGCAAACGGAATTAAACATACCACCCCTTTAATTGGAAACACTGGGACCTGGGAATTCAATACACTGTCAATTTAGGCCGCCACTGTCTGCTCGTGCTGCAAGACACTCTGCCCTTCCGCACAGGCTCTGGCTTCCTTCATTTGGCCTGTAGTTCTGCTGAGCAAATCACTTTCAACTGTGATCAAATAATTGCTCTGGAATCTTTCATTATGACATCGTGGGTTAAATGGATCAAAGTACAGGGTTGCATTATGACATCATCATAATTAACTCTAGAAGTCACAGCTATTCATAGTGTTTGATTATATCATTATGAAGACCACGTCGCCCTTCTGGAAGGAAAGCTGTGACTCAGTTAGAGCTCTACTCATCACCTTTACTGCACTTACACCCCTGCAAGTGGATTAAAACCAATCAATATAGACCAGAATGACCACTAAAAAGAGTGGATCCGTATAACCTGCACATCTCAAGAGTTCAATACATTCAATACATCTCAAGAGATTTTAGAAAAAATAATAAAAGTGGCTTCCAAAGCTGCAAAAGCTCTTAAAAAATGAACTCATATATAAATATTAAGCTCAAGTCAGCTTCTAATTTGCCAGTTTTTCATTTTAATTTCCTGTTCCACTTTAAATGGTGCAGCAGTTACACTGAGGTGCCTTAAACACAGAACGAATCAGTTAACCTCAATAAATGCATCAATTTACTTAATAAATGATTCTTAATCAACAAATACCTCAAACTTTTGCTTGGAGATGTTTAACTGTTACTGAGCAGGTAACGAGCAGAACAGCGAAGCTATTATCAGCCACGTCTCACTGGCTGATTTAACGCCGCGTCCCAAACCACACACTTCTGTACATCATCTACTACACTAATGAGTGCACTTCTAATATTATATTTACGGAGCCCTGCTGGTGACATCCCATATAAAGAAAAATAATGCGTGGCCATGACTTAGTAAGGCGTGGGAATGAGATCCTAATGTGTGGCCACGACTTAGTAAGGCATGAGATTGACATAATTAAGCCTTGACCACAGCACAATAAGGCATGATCTCATTCCCACGCCTAAGTCATGGTCACGCATTAGGATCTCGTTCCCACGCCTTACTAAGTCGTGGCCATGACTTAATTATCTCATACCCACGCCTTAATAAGTCGTGGCCACGCATTATTTTTATTTATACCGGATGTCACCAGCAGGGCTCCGTCAATATGTGCTATTTATACACACTATTTATTGTGCTAGTGTGGGTATTGGAGTGTGAAAATAATAACGCAGTGGGGAATCTCAGGCATTTAGATTACAGCTTTCGTTTGTCATCACTACATCCACAAAATCAAATAAAATTAAGTCAGTACACTCAAACACATCAGTTAATGTGCTTCAAAAACTTAAAAAGGTTTAAAAACGTGTTTCACTGCCTTAGTGTGGTGTAATTTTCTATTCATAATTTTTCACTTGTAGATCATTAAAAAACAAGTGGAGGAAAGAGCAGAGTATGAACTTTCAACTGATACCATGTTTGTGTTTGTAAGAAGAAGAGATTTTTTATGATTTGAATTTGATGAAAAGTTTTATTTTGCAGAAAGAAAATTCATCCTTTTTTTCATTTTTGCTGTTTTGCTGTCATAAGTCGAACACTGGGCCACTGTCATTTTTGCCTGCCACTGTCTGCTCTTACTGCAAGACACTCTCTGCTTCCCTTCTGCAGGCCTGTCTGCCTCCCTCTATTTGTACTGTAGTTTTGGTGAGCAAATTATCTTCAACTGTCATCAAATAATTGCTTTCAATTATATTTCATTATGACACCGTAGCCTAAATGGTTCAAAGTACAGGCATTATGACATCATAATCATAATAAATTAGCCTGCTTAATTAACCCTACCTCAATCAACCCTTTCGCAAGTAAGTTCTGACTCCAGCGGTGTACCCAGAGTTCTATTAGCATGAGTGTAGCTGCAGTTCTAGAACATGATTATTATACAGTATTGGCTCCATATCATCAGCAGAACACTAAGGAGAATCAGCAAACAAGAGCATAAACGCATGCTTTGTGTGTGCTGCCGTGCTGTTAATTGCATGTGCCCAGTAAAGAATACAGGCAGGTTTAGCTTACATCTATTAACCCAGATGTGTATTGCAAATGTTATGTCATGTTTTCATGTTTTTTCATGCTTTTTGTTGTGAAAAAGATATCAGCAGACCGATTTTGATGAATGGCCTGAGTGTTGCATCAGCGTTTGAAACTGAAAGTTGTAACGCTCTGTTCAAATCCCACTGGTGAGACTGTACTGTCTAGGGACCAGCTACAGCAAATCCCACTGCAAAAGGATTAAGGCTACCGCAGACCAGACAAATTATGCCACACAGTGTTGCACAGGGGCGGTAAAAACATAGCTATACTACACAAAATGTTTCACAGTGAGTGTGCCAATAAACATCAAGCTCAAGTTCATTTCACAACTTTTAGCATCATGCAGTGATGTTTGGTATCAGCTAACGAATGTTTTCAAGCCAAACTATACAAGGTAAAAAAAAAAAAATAAGTAACATCAACTGAGTTAACAGACTCGCATTTGTCTGTTTATCTTCAAGAATTCAGATTGAACGCCTTTCTCTGTTTAATTTTCAAGCCACAGCACCTGCCAAGACATTTTGTGGTCTCTATCTGCGTTTACTGTAACGCAGTAATAGGAAAAAGCTGAATGGCGTGCTGTGGCCCTCAGAGAAACTGAAGTGCTGGAAAGTATATCCAGAGTGGTGTGTGAACCTTCATTAAAGAGAATGGCTTTAAACATTTGAAAATTTTTCAGTGTGTCTGATGAGTGATGGCCTTTGGAAGTATCAGCTAGCGCCAGTGACAACATGCGTGGTATAATTTGCCATTAATTATTTCTCAGTTGTAGAAAGAAATTGAGAAAGTTCATCCAAAGTGCAGATTCCATCTTTCGATATACACCACATTTGTGTTTGTAAGTAAAAGAGGAGATATTTTAATATGATTGGTCTATAGCCTTATTAAAAATACATGGGGTCCTACTCTGTCTCATCATAATACAAACAATGTAAATGTTCCCTCAAAGGTACAACAGTGGCTTTAAGGTCCAATAGTGAACCTTAAATAGGTTTTTCCAGGTGAAAAGTATGTATTTGTACCTTTTCTTAACCTAATGTTTTAAAACAGAACAATAAAATAAAAAGCCTGGAGACGAGGCAGGGTGTGTGGAGTCAGTACAACTTAGAAAATATAATTTCAATGCATTATGGTACAAATATGTTCCCTGACTAAGGGTACTGAGGTGTATCCTTGAGGGTACCACCCCCGTGACAAGAGGGGTACTGCGCCAGTGACAGTTTTGTACCTTTTTCTCTGAGAGTGTAGGTTCATTTCATGTTTACAGGTGCTGTTAAACCTGTGCTGGTTTTCTGATAAATTAGGTCCCATCTGGATATAAATGTCTATTTTGATGGATTTTCCAGACAGTTGTCGCATCACATTGAAAAAATGTTTTTTGATCGCTGCTACTCACCGTATTAAGTCTTCTGCCACACATATTCATATTAACTCCTTAAAAGGCCAGGGTCTACCAGCAGGCCTAAAGTTTAGGCCTATAACCTAAGAACAGCTCAGCCAGTTTGCATTAAAGTCCCTGAATAATTAGCTTTATTATGTAATAAGCCTGGTGAATGCTTTGGAAGTCTTTCAAGAACCAAACCTTCAGCAGAGATTTATGTATAAGGAGGGTAAGTCTTTTTAAGAGGGTTCTTATGGGGCATCTTCCCCCAGAAAAGTTTTTAATGGCCTCAAAATATCCGTCCATCATGAATGTTTAGATTAGCAATAGGCAGAATATTGTTTGAAAAAATGACTATTTGGTGAAGTTGACATACAGAAGATCCGTCTATTCATAATTTTAATTAGACACAGTTCTAATATGACCTAAATGCTATCCATCCACTTCAAGCAGTGGTGCTTAAATCAAGCAATGCTATATCCTCTCTCTTAGTTAAACTGCTTAGTTAAGGTCTTGAATATGTTATCCAAACACACAGACTGTAGATTAGTACCTGATCAGACCTGCTCTTTCAGCTCTGTCAGTCTCATTCAGCTTCTGTCTCTCTTTTTCCTTGCTTGTGTTTAGTAACGAA